ACCAAAATTTCTAGTTTCTTTCTCAGACGATTTTCGAGTTATAAAACTCGCACGTACTGGGAAAAAGAAATCACAGTTTAAGGTGCACAGGCATTTCGAGAAATCCTGCTGTAACGATGATCTAGCATTTATATAATCGCAAGTAAAATCACATAATACCCACAAGTGCTACAGAATCTGTTTTTGGGTAATATGAAGAAAATTGGAATGCAAATCCAGGAAGGCATAAGGAATTTGAATGGAAATTTGGGCTGTTACAATTGTCAAGTTTGTGATTACCTATATCCACGAACATGAGAAATGACGCAGATGCACAATGAATTGAGTTTGGAGCTGAGCAGAAGAAAAAGGCCAGGATGGATAGCCTTCATCAAAGTACGAGCCTTATGGAGGGGTGATTCTCTGGAGAGAAGCCGGGATCCTGCTTCGGGGCAAAAATTAGGAACACGTGGCGTTTATAGGGGTTACCCGCTTGGGCCTCAGGCTTCTTCCAATTGTACAGAGTGCTCCCACCAAAGCATAAGACGTTTCTCCCAAATCTGACGTAATATCGTCTATGATAGTGGCACCTCTCAATCAGTAGTTCGGCTGCATGAAAACAGAACACGGAATCGAAACAGGTACCAGCAAGCTGCAGCACACTCCAATGAAGCAATGTGCTTTCCATCTGGCGTGAGCGATATTATCAAGACAATGTAAACTGGGGGGATAATTTAGGCAAGTGATGTGATAAGCACGAGAGACAACGCAAATTAATTGTAAATTTAAAAAAAAAAAAAATGTTAAAATAAAGTAGGGGAGGCGATGAATGCGATCGGATGAGGGCTGAATGGAATTATATGGATGAGAGATGCTGCCAACTGCATCTGCGGCCAGAAGAAACGAAACGATGAAACAACAGCCACCCAAGGAAGGTAAGCGAAAGTGGCATTTCCGGCAAATTTTGCGAAAGTGGCATTTCCCGCCCCGCAGCAACTCATGAAACTCGACTGTTGAGCAACCAGCGCAAAATATACGACAAAATAGATCCCTCCGGAGCACTTCTTGTCAGCAGTTCCTTAAAAAGCGAATCTCCGAACTGCACCGCCAAGTCTGGCCAGCCGAAAGAGAAAAGAGGACATCATGCGAACAACCGCTCACCTGCTCCGCCCGCGACTCACCGCGTTACGAAATTTGAACAGCACCCAACACCAACACGCAAAATTAGCTATTTAAACCAAGCCAGCGGGCTGCGTGCTGCGGAATAGTACAGGACAGGCTGTTATGCAACAAAAAATAGCTCAGGACTGAGAGCAAAGGTTTTCGCATGGCGTCGCCGTTGGATGGGAGTGGTCCCTGGCAATTACAAAAACTCGGCTCGGCTCGGCC